ATGATACGGAGTAGGTAGTTCGCTATGGGGAATCAGAAAATGAGTAAGATCGACCTATACGGTGATTCCTACTGGTTGAAAGCATCATTTCCACATGAGTCGATGATAATGACACGCAGTAGGTAGTATACTATGGGAATCAGAAAATGAGTAAGATCGACCTCTACGGTGATTCCTATTGGTCGAAAACATCATTTCCGCATTAATGGATAAAAATGATACGGAGTAGGTAGTTCACTATGGGGAATCAGAAAATGAGTTTGAGCGTCCTCTACCGTGATTCCTATTGGTCAAAAACATCATTTCCACATGAGTGGATGAAAATGATACGGAGTAGGTAGTTCGCTATGGGGAATCAGAAAATGAGTAAGATCGACCTCTACGGTGAACCACTATGGGGATTCAGAAAATGAGTATGAGCGACCTGTACGGTGATTCCTGTTGGTCGAAAACATCATTTCCACATGAGTGGATGGAAATGATACGGAGTGGGTAGTACACTATGGGGAATCAGAAAATGAGTAAGATCGACCTCTGCGGTGATTCCTGCTGGTCGAAAGCATCATTTCCACATGAGTGGATGAAAATGATACGGAGTAGGTAGTTCGCTATGGGGAATCAGAAAAATGAGTATGAGCGACCTCTACGGGCGTCCTACTGGTCGAATGCATCATTTCCGCATTAATGGATNNNTCGACCTCTTCGGTGATTCCTTTTGGTCGAATGCATCATTTCCACATGAGTGGATGAAAATGATACGGAGTAGGTAGTTCGCTATGGGGAATCAGAAAATGAGTATGAGCGACCTCTACGGGCGTCCTACTGGTCGAATGCATCATTTCCGCATTAATGGATCAAAATGATACGGAGTAGGTAGTTCACTATGGGGAATAAGAAAATGAGTATGAGCGACCTCTACGGTGCACCACTATGGGGAATCAGAAAATGAGTATGAGCGACCTCTACGGTGATTCCTATTGGTCGAAAACGTCATTTGCACATTAATGGATGAAAATGATATGGAGTAGGTAGTTCACTACGGGGAATCAAGAGATGAGTATGAACGACTTCTACCGTGATTCCTATTGGTCCAAAACATGATTTCCGCATTAATGGATGAAAATGATATGGAGTAAGTAGTTCACTATGGGGAATCACAAAATGAGTATGAGCGACCTCTACGGTGATTCTTATCATTCGAAAATATTGTTTCCACACGAGTGGATGATAATGATATGGAGTAGGCAGTTCACTATGCGGATTCAGAAAATGAGTATGAACGACCTCTACGGTGATTCTTATCGGTCGAAAACATCAGTTCCGCATCAATGGATGAAAATGATATGGAGAAGGTAGTTCACTATGGGGATTCAGAAAATGAGTATGGGCGACCTGTACGGTGATTCTTATCGGTCGAAAACATCATTTCCGCATTAATGGATGAAAATGATATGGAGAAGGTAGTTCACTATGGGGATTCAGAAAATGAGTATGGGCGACCTCTACGGTGATTCTTATCGGTCGAAAATATTATTTCCACATGAGTGGTTGATAATGATATGGAGTAGGTAGTTCACTATGGGGAATCAGAAAATGAGTATGAGCGACCTCTACGGTGATTCCTATTGGTCAAAAACATCATTTCCGCATTAATGGATGAAAATGATACGGAGTAGGTAGTTTGCTATGGGGAATCAGAGGATGAGTATGAGAAACCTCTACGGTGATTCCTATTGGTCGAAAACATCATTTCCGCATTAATGGATGAAAATGATACGGAGTAGGTAGTTCGCTACGGGGAATCAGAAGATGAGTATGAGCGACCTCTACGGTGATTCCTATTGGTCGAAAGCGTCATTTCGACATGAGTGGATGATAATGATATGGAGTAGGTAGTTCACTATGGGGAATCAGAAAATGAGTAAGATGGACCTCTACGGTGATTCCTATTGGTCGAAAACGTGATTTCCGCATTAATGGATGAAAGTGATATGGAATGTGTACTCGATTATGGGGAATCAGAAAATGAGTGTGTGCAACCTCTACAATGGATTCTAGTGGTCGAAAACGTTAGGGAGTTTATTGATGATTGATCGTGCGTGTTGGAAATTTCCTTATGAACGAACTTTATGGGCATGATGCTAAATTGATGTTAATCGAGCATTACGTTGTTCGTCGTTCTCTAATGAACGAACTTCTCTTGCATGAAGCTTAGCTGATGTTAATCGAGCAGTACGCTCTTCGATGTTTTCGTTTTGTCGTTTCAGTTGTTTTCGTACCCGTTCCTTCCGTTTTCGTTCATCGGCTTTATCGATAGAAAAATGGTTTAAACTTGGTAATGATTGCAATGAATTTATCATATTTCCCTAAAAGGTAAATCGATAATATATTAAATGGAGTTATTAGATAGCATTTTGCCTAACAGCTGGTCATTTGCATGACTATTGACGCTTTGCGTTTTGATGAATTTGACTTTGTTCCGCTGAAGAACACTGACGTAAACGAGAACTAGTGAGCAGAGATAATTGCCGAATTCGAACGGCGGTATGCTTATAACTTTTCACTGTGTTTTTTCCGGTGTCTAATAAGGGAGGGATAGCTCTAAAATTTGGATAGATTATTGAAGTAGAATGTTTACCTTTGACGATGTAATGTTTGATAGTTCGCTTCCAAAACGACTAGGTGCTGGAAGAATTGATATTTGCGACTGAGTGTTTGGTTTCCGTGGAACAAGGGGTACAAAATGATTAGGACTCCAAGTTGTTCGTGCAGCTAGCTTTTTGTATTCTGTTGGATATTGTGTGTTTGACCATAGAAGTCTCACTTTATTTTGTCCTGCTAACATTGTTGATGGGCCGTAAGTGTAGTTGAATACATCTAGATATGAGCCATAATCGATATGTGGATATACAGATTGTATGTCACATTGCAATACGTTACAAAGTGCCACAATTTCATATAATTCAGAATAATCAGATTTTTTACATGCATTTTTGAGATATTCGTGAAGAGGACCGCAAGTGTTCATACAGTGTAACTCGTAATAGTTTTGATTATTAATCAATTCTAAAATAGTTCGAACTCGAAGTTCGACTGTCGTGATATTTAATGATGGCATTAGTATAAGTATTGAACTGTATAAACAACTGCCACTTCCACCACCTGTGGAATCAACTGGAACGAAACTGGTAAGATCATGAACTTGATCACACATGGATAAGTAGAACTGAGCAACTTGATCAATAACATGATACGTTTGATCGAAATATTCGACTGAAGCACGTGATAATGGTGCCATTAGATGCTTCAAATTCATTATTTCTAGTGATGTGTCTAAAGAAGGAAAATACTTCATTATAGTAAAATTATTTCTTCAAGCGAGCATTGTAAGAGAACTCACGAATAAGTTGCTCAGCTGAAGAAACTGATTGATGTAGTAAATTAAGTAATTTATTAAATTTTTGATCTCGTGGCATTTTATTGCAATTATCACAACATTGCATTGGTATCTTAATACCGCAGAATATACATACATTGTTCATTTGTGATCTGAAAAAAAAATTGCATATGAAACGATATAGCATTTGCTGTTACGAATTACATTAGGAAAACATTGTATAGTTTTTGACTAAAGAAATGTTTCTCAACTTGTGTTTATTTATAAAACAAAAAATTTCCGATGAAAATTGTTAATACCTGGTTAACTACAATAAAAAAACAACTGTAGTTGTTTAGTCGATTAGGACTTTTTAACGAGCTACAGGAAATCATACACTTTTTTTTAATATTAAATTCTAATTAATATGTAACGTAAATGAATTGTGCAACTGTGTACAGTAAAATAAATCAATATGATAACTGAATGATTAACCTCTATCGAATGATTAACATGATTAACTGG